TATATACACTATATACAAGGCGGTGGATCATGATGTCCAAACTGAGTCAGGGGTTTCAAAAAATTCCCTGATGGAGTAGAGGGGCCTAGTCTTCAACTCCGAGACATGTGCGCAACAAACGCTTTCACTGGCAGGCCTCTGATCTCAGCACTGAGACTATTGTACAGCTTTATGGCCATAGTGGGGAAACTGTTTGCTGTCTTACTGAGCCGATGGGATGGAAGGTCAAGTTGGCTACGGTTACGGGTATTGCAACTATGGAGGTCACCCCTTGAGCTAAAATCATTTAAGTTTTTCTTTATGTGTACAACACTGTTTAAGACGTACTGGCTGAACAATGTCATAACTCCCAGACGCATGAAAAGAGGTCTACAGTGGGCGTCAGCTTTGCTAGAAGTTACAATTCTGAGTGCCTTCTTCTGGAGTCTGAAGGATCTCCTAGAACCAGGTGCATGACCCCACAACTGCAAACCGTAGTTCAGATGACTATGGAATAGACCATAATAGACTGTCAGTAAATACTGCTCGGATATCTCCAGCTTGATTTTGTGAAGCAGAAAGATTGTTTTGGATAGCTTGTCGTTAAGGTGGGATATATGGTCTTCCCATGAGAGCTGGCTGTCCATCCAGAAACCTAACAATTTGACACACTGTGAGTCTTCGATGGGAACTATGTTTCTTTTTAGGGTGCAGATTAGGTTTTGGGTCTTAGAACCATTCAGCTTAAGCTTATTCTGCACAAACCAATCCTTGGCAGTTGCCATGAGAGTCTCAGAGTCACTTTGGAGCAGGTCCAGTCGAGAATTTCTGGATATCAGGGTCGTGTCATCTGCGTAGAGGAGGGACTTCCCATCGCATCTCAGGTCATTGATGTAGATGACAAAGAGCAGAGGGCCTAGGACAGAGCCTTGTGGGACGCCATGCTCAATATGCAGTTCTCTTGAGAAGGCACCTTTAACAGAGACCGTTTGACGTCGATTCCTGAGATAGCTCTCAAGCGATTGATAGGCCATACCTCCCACGCCATATGCTTTTAGCTTGTCCAGCAAGATTTTGTGGCTTATGACGTCAAACGCCTTACTAAGGTCACAAAGCGTTAGCTGCACGTAATCCCTTTCCTCAAAAGCTGCAGTAATCTTGGAGACAAGTTCAGTCACTGCTGTCACAGTTGATTTAGAAGGGCGAAAACCATGTTGGGAATGAGAAAAAAGGGAATTTGATTCAAAAAAGTCCATCAATTGGTTTTTCATTACTGTTTCAAATATTTTCCCTAGTATAGGGATAACTGATATAGGCCTGTAACTGGAAGGACTTGAGTGTTCACCTTTTTTGAAGACAGGCACAGTTTTAGCCCTCTTTAGCGCATCAGGAAAAATCCCATTCTGTAGGCAGTAGTTGATTAGAAATGTCAATGGTTCAACTAGGGTAGTAATCACAGATTTTAGTATTATGGTAGAAACTCCATAGATGTCCTGGCTGACCGAGTTGGAAAAGCTGCTAACTATCTTGAGAATGCTATGGGTGGTAGTTGGTTGCCAGTTATTAAAATGTGAATTTCTGGCATTTGTTACCATGTCAGCTGGATTGACATTCATATCGGGTATTTCCTTAATTATGTGATCGACTGACTCTTTGAAAAATGAGTTAAAGTCGTCTGGAGATATACTGGAAAAAGGGGAATCCTTCCTACCCTTCCTAGAGGAGTTGACCAGATCCCAAGCAGCCTTGCAAGGGTTATGAGATTCAGATATTAGTTTTTCATTACCTATTTTCTTAGCGACAGTAACCTCTTTCCTATACAACCTCTTAGCAGCTAGATACTTGTCATAAAACTTAACCTTTAGCTCAACATTTGGAGCTGTCTTATAAAGATCAAAAAGAAAGCAGATACGATTTTTTAATTCAGCTAGTTCATGTGTATACCAGTCTGTGGGTTTTGAAAGTTTTTTAGGCTTAGAGATGGTTGTGACCTTTTGGCCTCTTTTCACCACAACTGGAAAGGCTATGTCAAACTTATTTATAAATGTCTGGAAAAATAATGTAAAAGCCTCCTCAGGGTACAAAGTAGGGAAGTCAAAGTTCCTCCAGTTTACATGATTTAACATTGCTGAGAACAGTGCCAGGCTAGCATCATTTATGTTACGCTTTTTAAAACTATAGTCCTTATACCAAGAAGGAGTCTGAGGTTGATGACTTACCATTTCAGTGGACACATTCATTAGGACAGCACAGTGGTCGGCAACAAGGGGGTCCACAACACTTACTGTGTACGACTCGGATGGTAGATCAGTCACAACGGTATCGACACAGTTGTTTCCACGTGTTGGTTCTCGGTTTCCTAGGAATAAACCATAACTGTGGATTAGATTTAGAAATTCAAGCTCATGGGCATTTCTGTAATTTAGGTGAATATTAATGTCACCTAAAAGGAGGATTCTAGCTTTTAGCCTGCTAAGATACCTTAGGCAGTCGTCCAAACGTGTAAAGAAGCCATCGAGATTCCCAGAGGGAGAACGATAGATTGAAACAATGATCCAGTCCAAATCAACAAGGTGCACCGCAGCCAATTCCAGGTCCATCTCTACACAAAACTCAGATAGATCCACATTTCTACATTTAAAATCTTTATTTACACTATTTACATAAATAAGCGTGCCTCCATGAATGTGCAGCTGTCGACACCATACGCTTTGAAGACTCAAGAATTCAAGTTTCTTATACCAATCATGCTCTGAAGAGTTTAGCCAGTGCTCACAGATACAAAGAATGTCAGGTTTATGCTGAAGTACAAATAAGGATAGTAGGTCAAATTTAGTCCTTAGGCATTGAACGTTTACGCTAGCAATTTTAATGTTAACAGAAAGTGTGCCAGGCTTAGTCTTATTTAGAATATTTACATTAGGCCTACTTGAAATTCTTACCTCAGTAGAACTAGGGTTAGGGGTTAGTTCTTCTGTTAACCTGTTTGAGGGGCTTTCCTCCTGTAAAATAAAAAACGTTTTACAGCAACATTCTTAGGCCAAAAGGCTGTTTCAAGCAGATTGTCCCTAAGTTCAAAGTCTGCACCAATTTTGAAACTGCTGTTTATGCCTTTTGAGTCCAGCTTCTCTACAACAAAATCCCTTTGAGGAAACTTTTTCTTAAGAAAGTCTTCAACATTAGAGGAGGATGTGTCTTTATTTACTTTACTAAGGTGAAACCATGCTCTTTTAACACCACAAAGCTCATCACCTCCTGTACCAACAACAACTTGAATATCCCTGGCTCTAGACCCACCTTTTGCCCTAGTTTCTTTCCTATTTTTATCATAGACGTTATGCTTAGGTTCAGATAGAGTAGGCCTACCTGCAGGTTGTTTTTGCACTTGGCTGAGAGAGGCTAGGTTCTCATTGTCAGATGAGGTTAGGTTGGGTTCTTGTCCAGGTTTCTTCTTTTCATAAAGGCCTACAACAGATTGCGCCGGCTTACTAGCCTTATGTTTTTTCGATTTTTTCACAACTTCATTCCAGGGTGTTTTTTGTTGTTCAATAAGTGAATCCACAATCACGATGTCACAATCCTTTTTAACCACAAGAGGTGACAGTTGGGTCATAGATTGTTTTGGACCAGATGACAGATCGAGATCCGAGCTCGAGCTGTTATGTAGGTTGTCAGATGTTTCCGCCTTTCCAAGGTTGTCAGCTGTAGGCTGATGATTTTTTGTTGTTGTGTCGTCCGCAGCTTCCGGTTGATTGACAGACAATTTTTGCATGCTTTGATCTAACCTCAAAGTTGACTCAAAAACTTTATCGAGTTTTAAATTTATGGCTACATTGTCATTTGAGAGTCCTTTGACGATGGAAAATAATTTTCCTACCATATCATGCATGTTGAAATAGTCTTCAACAGAGAACTCGTAGTCCCGGGCTTTTTCAATGCGGCCGGTACAGTCCTTACACAACCACTTGATAGCTTCATGAAATTTGTTTATAGCGTTATAATTTTCTTTGCTGATGTTCACACAGTTTATATGGAACCATCCACTACAGAAACCGTCACAACATACTGCATCTTCATCCTCCAAAGTCACTTTTCCACACACCTTACATTCGGAATCATTATCCACCGCCATCTTGCAGACCCCAATCAAACAGGTTTACAGGCTAAAGGTTTAAATGTGTCAACCTAAAGATTAGGCCTTTATACAACTCACCCAAGGGTTTCTAATATGAAAGTTACACCGCTTGGTAGCTTATTTTGTAAGTGCCTTTTACCACACAGCCTAGACAGTTCTTATATAATTGTAAGATTCGTCCTTTTGCAATGTTTATGGGAAATGTCGGTAGTCCTAACCATGTGACCCTACAGGGGTACAACAGTTTCTTAACTGGGCTACGCTAATATCGATTGGAACTATCGAATTGAAATATTGATTAATAATCGATATTTTAAAATATAATGTCTATTATAAAATTAATCTATCATAACCTAACCTAGGCTAACTAACCCAACTTGTTGATGGTGAAAAAATCACAGTTTACTAATCGAATCGATAGTTTCAATCGATATTAGTGTAGCCCAGTTAAGAAACTGTATCCTTGTTGTATTTGGACAACACTTGGAACAAAACACAACAAACACTTTTAAAGACTAGGCCTACAGTATAAAAACTAACTTTAACTTACAAGGGTGCACGGGGATGGCACGGTAGAACGCATAACAATAAACACTCTTTTATACACTTAAATCCGACTTCAAAACGATACTTCGATAAAACCTCAAATTATTAAAAAAAAACACAGCTTAAAGACTTTGAAAACTACAATCGCTGGGGCACGGCAGGAGCAGACAGATGAGATGACATGAAAGAACCACAGAACGAACGACAGAAAACAGAACAGTAAACAACTCTTTTGCTTCAATTGTGTGAGAGTCGTTCATTTGAGATCAGCTCAATTTTACGGTTTGCGCATGCGCAGTAAGCTAGTCCAATTCCTGCCCTGAAACGCTCGCATTTTTTCCAAGGGTTAGGGTTTGGTTTTGGTTACGGTTACGTTTAATGTAAGGTTAAACCATTCTGGCTGGGTTATCAAATATCAAAAATCAATGTTTATCGTCTTTGTTAACAAATTGAGCAATAGGGTTATTCTGGTTTATTAATTCGTGTGAAAAGTATTGATGATTCCAACGATTAACTTAAGTATCAAAACAATATACAAACAACCTAACAAATAAAATAAATAAGAAGCTTAGGTCTAAGTTAAATGCATTAATCATGATTTAGTATTTAATTTCCCGTCTTCAATCAAGTAACTTAATTGTTATTAACAAAGTCTGCTCTATAGAAAATATTTTTTTTTTATAAGCCTTTGGGTAACTTAACTGGTATTAGGACTAGGCCTAAGTTAAGGCAAAGTAATAGAATGGAGAAGAATCGCAATACTTCTTATTTTGAAGGATGTGGAAGAGAAGGCCCAATTAACTGCATATTTCTGACGGAGTTTCATCACACGGCTGGCCCAAAAATTACATGTCAGGTATGTTATTAAATTATTAGGCTTTAGGCCTATACAAGAAATATACGGTACATTCTAGTTTTAATACACCTCAGTTATAAGCTTGTGGGAAGTTGCAATAGCCTACGTTGGAAACAGCTTATCCGTTGGATACTAAGCTAAGCCAATCCACACTGAGTCAGATCACTTTAACCTGGCAGAGGTCGCTCTTGATTGAAAACGTGAGGAGACGCACACAGTCTTTTCAACCGGATACACAATCAAAAAACCATATTTCAGTAAGTTTAGGCCTACATTAAATTTTAATTGCTCAAAATCGTAAAAATTATGTAAAACATTGATAACTTATAATTTAGGCTACAACCTTCTGAGATTTATGCATTTTAGGGTTTGCACCCAACTTTCGGTCATAGAATTTTTTTTGTTTGAGAAAAAAAATTGAAAAGTGCTACGGTAAGGAATGATATAGGCCTAAGTTATTGGCCCTCGATCGTAAGAGGAATTGAAAGAAACCATCGCTGTTCCGAAACAACAACTGAGTCAACTGATATGCCCATTCAAATTCACATGATCCAAAGTCGCGCCGGCACAATATATCATTGCAGAGTAAGAGACTCACAAGGATATAAGTTATCATCGCATAGCATTAAAAGGTTGATTTCTGTTTTTATCTACTTTAAATTCAACGCTGATTCCAAAAATGAGGTTCTTTTTCCACGGTAAACAACCATCAAAATAGGCTACTACCAAAATGACCAAAAAACATTTTTTCCACATGTGGGTAAGTTAGGCCTATGCAAACTAACCGGAATAACAAGCAGATCACTAATATATGCAAGCTCTTACTTGAACATTGGTCTTACTTAGGCATGAGGTGAAGGCAGGTCGAGGTTTATTTATTTATTTATTTATTTATTCATTCCGACGGCAATCGCCATTTTACAAAATAATACATTGACAAGATTTACATGCAACAAGATAATAGGCCTACAATAGAAAACATCAATAAATGAGTTAGAAGTTTGGTGGTGGTGGTGAACAGTTTGAGTAAAATTGCAACTGCTATGTACTATGAAAAGAAAGTTAATTTATGTTTTAATGCAAATTTTTATTCTGTAGCAAATTATTGTGAGTTAGTTTTTTTTCAGTGAAACAAAACAAAAACAAATTAATGTAAACAAAGTCATATGATAAATAAAAGAAATTAGGAAACAGTTGGTTGAACACAGCACCTCTCTCCTAAGTTTTAGAATCACATATTCATTCTTGTAACCGGTTGTTTTTTCCTTGAGCTTCTTCTTAAGACAGGGTTTGAGGCTTCACCGTTTGGTAGAGGAGCTAGAGGTTTTTTAAAGCGAGCTTCATCTTCAGTATGGTTGTTAAACACATGATCATTTGCTCCCTGAAGTTCTTCGAATTGTAGACCCTAGAGGAAGTTTGATATTGATAAAGTAGTCCCTGTCGTCCTTCTCACCGCTTAAATTTGAACCAACCGATCTTATTTGATCAATGTGTCTCCTGTAGGTGGAATTTACAGATTCAATATTATAGTGGCACGTGCCCAGTTTTTGTAGAATCCTTCCAAATCTCCACTTTTGTGGCGTTCCGTAGATTCTAAAAGAAACAAGAGTCTCCTTCTTTAAAGTTCCTCCCATAAGATTGTTGGATAGTCTGGTCATTTGTGCAAGTATTTGAAGAGTTAAGAAGTGTCAAATCAAGCCTTGACCTCAATGGTCTGCCGATGAAAAGATGAGCAGGTGTTAACCCTGTAGTTGCATGAGGTGTTCTCCTATATGCCATGAGAAATCTGGCAACCTTTTGGTTAAGGGTACCAGGTTCATCTTTCATAGACCTAAGGGATTGTTTTAAGGTCTGAACATATCTTTCGACCTGCCCATTGGTAGCTGGATGATATGGAGCAGAACGTTTATGGGATATGCCATTCAGTTCTAAGAAGTTTTTAAATTCTTGAGAAGTATATTGTGGACCGTTGTCTGAAACCAAGATATGTGGAATGCCAAAATTGCTGAAGAATGTTCGCAGGCAGTCTATGGTTTTGTTTGTAGTTGTAGAATTCATTGGAATAACTTCTGGCCATTTACTGTACGCATCCACAATAATTAAAAAGTAGCTGTTCATAAATGGTCCGCGAAGTCAACGTGAATTCTCTCCATAGGTTTTTCAGGAGCAGACCATGGATGTACAGCTACTTTGGTTGGATCATTACGATGCTCTTGACAATTTTTGCAATTTCGAACCAATGTTTCAATATCATGGTCAATATTTTTCCACCAGACATAGGAGCGAGCTAAAGCTTTCATCCGAACCATACCTATATGTGCTTCATGAAGTTCTTGAAGAATTTTGTTTCTTAATGATTTTGGTATTACAAATCTATGTCCTTTAAATAAGCACCCCATTTGATAGCTCCATTTTGATTCAGTGTCTCTGAACTCACTTGAATGGTTTATGAGCTTTCCTTCATTAAGAGCTTCATAGATGTCTGACAGTTCCTGATCTTTTTGAGTTTCTTCTGCTATTAGTTTGCTTGAAACGGGAATGGTTTGGAGTTGTTGTATTTCAAAAACATCAACGTTGTCTATTTGGTTAACATCTAGGCAAATATTTGAAGGTAAACGGGATAAGGCATCTGCGTTGGCATTTTCATCAGTAGATTTGTATTTGATGTTGAAATTAAAGGCTTGGAGGAAAACAGCATAATTTTGTAATCTAGTAGCTGCTAGAATTGGTATACCTTTTTTGTCACCAAATATATATGTCAATGGTTTGTGGTCGGTGAAAAGAGTAAAGTGATGGCCATACAGGAAGTAATAAAAAAGTTTTACAGCAAAGTAGATGGCTAATGCTTCTTTCATTATGACACTGTACTTCATTTCCGAGGAGTTTAATGTTCGTGATGCCATTGCAATAGGTCTTTCAGACTCATCCGGATAAACATGTGAAAGAACGGCTGAGATGCCATGCTGGCTTGCATCTGTAGCTAAGATGAGTGGTAAGTTAGGATCAAAATGAGTAAGAAATATGTCTGATTTCATTTCCTCTTTAATGTTTTGGAATGTTCTTTCACAGTCCTCAGACCAAAAGAATTTCGTAGATGACTTGGTGAGATTTATAAGAGGATATAATTTCTCACTTATGTTTGGAATGAACCTTCTGTAGTAATTAATCAGACCAAGGACGTGTCTGACTTCATGTATGTTTGAAGGGCGAGGCAAATGGTCAATAGCTTCAGTTAGTTTTTGAGTTTTGTATATTCCTTTGTTGCTAATTTTATACCCCAAATACTCAATCTCATTTACCATAAAGCTTGATTTTTGTCTATTAATTCTAAGATTGTACTGCTTGAACCTCTCAAATACCTGTTTTAAACGGCTAAGATGTTGTTCGTTAGTGGTGCCTGAAACAACTATATCATCATAAAAGACTTGTACCCCTTCTATCCCTTCAACAACTTTCTCCATTGCTTTTTGCCAAATAGCAGGAGCTGCAGGTATTCCGAATGGTAATCTATTATATTGGTACAAACCTCTGTGTGTATTTATTGTTAACAAATAACGATCCGACTCTCTTAAGCCGGGTTTACACGCTCCGATAAAACATAACGACTTGTCTGCAACGACTAATCGTTACGTTTTGTCGTAAGTTGAGCGGACCATTTACACGTTCCGTCTTTTTCTCTAACTTTGGCTCTCAAACCTCTACCAGATGTATCTTGTTGTGGAGTTAGGTTCCCTGTATATTTGACGATGGATGAGTTGTTTTGTTCTGTTTATGTTATTTCTTTTGCAACAAGTTTCAAGAGGAAAAGAAAACCTAGAAGTAAGTGGTGTTGGCATTGGCTACTGAAAAAAACCTGTTATCTCATGTGGAGTTCTAAAGGAGTTGAGGAACGAATTCTCTGACTGGAGGAACTCGAGGAACTACAGTAATAATTTAGGTTTGTATATACTTCATCCGCACCTGCTCCAGATTTGAGGGATCTGTTAATGTTCCCCAGTTCATTTTTGTACACTGTTCTAAACGAATTAATTTTTTTACGACAATTGCCATGTCTACAGACGGGTCAAGTTCTTTATATTTAATGATTAATTCTACATATGCCAGGTCTTTCTTGTTCCTGTCAGAATAGTCGTTTTGTTTGATTTGCCATAAACAAGGTAAACTCAACTCAAACAAATTGATCTTGTATAGATCAATGAACTCTATTAAAAAGTAACGAGAAGCTTGACGTATGTCTGACATAGTGCAAAATATGACACAAAACGGTAAAAAAAACACTACACAGTCAAATTATACCACAGCGGTTAAAACAACAGTACTACACAGTACAATTAATTACACACAGTTAACTGGACCAACGCGACATCGGAGGGTCTACAGGTTGCAACGATGACTGAGTCACCGTTTACACGCAACGACTTGTCGCTACGATCAACAGAAAATCGCTACGATCTACAGAAATTGGTGGAAATTTCCACCAACCTTCCAACCTCACTCCAACTCAGACAAAACGTAACGACTTCCAGTTTACACGTTCCGTCTTGCATGAACGTTTTGTCGTTGCAGACAAATCGTTACGTTTTATCGTAGCGTGTAAACCCGGCTTTATGGGCATATGAAGAAAAGCCTCCGATACGTCAATTTTACTGTAGGTGATACTGTTACCAATTTTAGATAAGATTTGTTCAATTGCTGGAACTGGGTACTCAGGGACAAGAAGAGATGGGTTGAGTGTGACTTTGAAATCACCGCACAGTCGTATGTTACCATTGGCCTTTACTATTGGAACTACTGGTGTTGCCCAGCTGCTGTAATCTACTTTAGAAATAATACCTTCTCTTTCGAGTCTATCAAGTTCGTCATTCACTCTAGGAATGAGTGCAAAAGGAACTGATCAAGCTTTCTTAAAAACTGGTTTAGCATCAGGTTTTAAATAAAGTTGTGCTTCCAATCCCTGAAGTTTGCCTATGTTTTTAACAAATAGGTAATTTTCATATTGT